CAAACCCTATTTATTAAGTGTTTACTGCAATGTCTAAGTTGAAATGATCATTTATGATTAGTTACTACAAGAAGTCCTTTTATACGTATTTCTTTTATCTTCCTTTTGTTGTTTAATTATCATACAATTATATTCAATAATAGGAATATAAAAAAAAAATCATGTGTGCCTCAGCTGACTCTAATGTCTAATTCTTAAGAAATAAATTTCACAACAAAGTCTGAATTAGTGATCCAGCTTTATTTGTGTAAATACCTACACTCTTTAATGCACTTGGGATTACAATCAGCCAGTTCAGTCAATAAGATATGAAAATTCATCAATATCAACAATGTCTAAACTTTATATTTGTCATTCTGAGTAAAAAGGACAAACAAAAATAAGATATGCCATCAAGTGTAGTATAAGAGCACACTTTTGTAAGAAGACACTGTGGTAGAAGTAGTCTCGTCTCTGTTTTGGCATTAACATGGAATGCAACGACTGTATCAGCAAAAGGCAGTGAACGCAGCAACCTTGATTCAAAGTGATGTCTCTTAGCAATCCCGGAGCTGTAGGCAGCACTAAGAACCAACGGAAAAATATGCAGTCCTTCTTAGCTCAAGGCACAGAGGAATTATACTCCAACTCATTTTCAAGCAGGTCCCACTGATTAAAGAAAAAACAACATCTTTTACATCTATGTGGCCACTGGAGATGGCACTTGAGAGGACACTGAAAACACTTAACATCTTTGAACATTTACAACAGACCTGATGAGTTTCATTTGACAACTATGAAACACATCATGTCGCATGAGAAGAAGAACACAGATTCAAAGAATATTACTCAACACGGGAGTTATGTTCTTGCCACAGGGGAGTAGAGGTGGTTATGCTTGCAGCATCTGCCAGATACCAAATGAAGTGGCAGTGACTGATAGTTAGTCATAGCCTGTCAGGTTATCGTTACAGAATCATGGAACATTTGACACACAGACAGAACTGACAGCAACATGGCAAAAGTTCAAACTTTGGTGTGACCACAAACAAACGAGAAAAAAATGTCCAGCATTTGTAAATACTATACACATTAGCGCAATTGAAACAAAAAAAAAGGTTCAATTTGTGATTTTTCTTCCCTTTCTAAGGCCACTGGAATAAATAGAACTGTATTAAAGAACTGCAACCCAGTTATTGCTTGAAACACTGCGTGTGGTGATCACAGGATGAATGATGCTCAACCGCATTAGTGATGTATATTTTGGACTTGCTGGAGGAATGACAGCATCCTGTTTGCCCTACAGGATTGTTCTCAAAAGCGTTTAAGCCTCAGAGAAATGTTGTAAACAGTGGGGCAAGTCTTAAAATGCAGTAACAGTCAAAAAGTGTTTAAATAACCCCTCAGATCATCTTCAGGAGTGAAACAGTCTCCGTCCATCCACTGTGGAAACAACATATCTGTGCGCCCTGGCAGCTCAGGATCGCTGCACGTCCTGGGAGGTCTCCTGTTCGTGACGGTCCACTCTGGAAGTGTGTGTCTGCAGGCGTCATTGTCTTTGTCTCATTGCAGCGGATTATCAAACACAGAGTCTGGTAGGACAGAGATCTTCAGCTTCTTTTCTGGCCAGCTGTACTCCTTTGGTAACTTTGTCTACACAAAAGAGACAGGACATATAAGGTAAAAGTAGACAGTTGTTCAACTCCAAACAGAAAGTAAAAAGTTAAAAAACACAGGGATTTTACTTTACCTCCTCACGAGTGTTGAGTTCCTGTAAATCCCCAAGCATCTGCTCCACAAACTCTTCAGTCAAAAGTATCTATACAGGGAGACGAGAAGGTCAAATGAATACATTAAAGATGAAAGCACCACGCAGAAACTCAAGAGTTTGTCTGCGTGAGTATACCTGAAGCCAGGGGCCGTGGGCTGCATAAGGATGCTCTTCTGTAGCGAAAGCTCCTTCAACTCCTGTCGACACGAAGGTAATGGCTGTGTCTCCGTTGATACTTTTATACGTGAAGTGTCTCCCATGGAGCAACCGGCCCCTGTAATAAAAGATTAAATACAAAACAGTGTGAACTCCAAAGTTAATTATACATACTTCAGTGGTAAAAGTTTGAGTTTAGTTTAGCTGTGAGAGATTTTTTTTTTCCCCTTTATGTGGAAATTACGAGTGTGGTTTCTAAGGTTAAAATATATACTTCAGCCTCTGAGCATTTCTTTGTGATGACAGAGGACAGCCAGGTTCCTAGTTTGAAATGTACAAAAACATGTTATCACAGCAAGTTTTAAATCTATGAACCCCTAGTTTTGAAACCTTTACTTTTAGGCTCTAATCTTATGTTTTCTATCTCTGTTATCCAGATCTTCAATCACTTTATAGTAATAATTATAATTACTTATAATAATTGCACATTTTCTATATTAGCCTTTAAATTAAGAAGGAAAAAAACAAATATAAAAAAAGGCATTTTAAAAAATATAAAATGCTGGCACTAGAGGTATCTGCTCATAACTGTGCAGTGGAGATTTTATATTATGGCAATACCAGAAACACGATGGCAAGATACTGACTTAACTTGAAAAGAAGCGTGCTTGGTGCCTTACAGGAATAAATGTCACTGTGTTATCCACTGACGTGTTCACATACAGAAGCATACTCGCAGAGGTGCTTCGTCAAGAGGGGGCAAAGAGGGCAAATGCTGGATTCAGGGCTGTATGCAGATTGTGACTATGATTACACACAGACAAGCAACTAGCAATGTTGGAAAGGTCAACTATTTGCAATATTTGGTGAGCAGTTCCACTGAGGAGAAGGGACGTGAATTTGAACTCAATGTACGTCTGTCAGGTTCGAAAGGCATTTCACCTACTGAAGGAAAAAACAATGCAAGGACAAAATGTTTGCAATTATTATTATGATGATGAGAATAAAACATAATGTTGCATGTTTCTGTGTCTGATTTAACAGTTCTGTGGTGATTTCTGCAGATAACTGCAGACATTTGGAAAATAATAATAAATAAAGATAAATACTAAAAACCATTTCACTTTCAGATATTTGCATCTGCATTCATTATTGTAGTTAGTCATCCATCCATTATCTATAAAACGCTTAATCCTCACTAGGGTCACAGGGGGGCTGGAGTCTATCCCAGCTGACTTAGGGTGAAGGCAGGGGACACCCTGGACAGGTCACCAGTCTATCACAGGGCTACACTTAGAGACATACAACCAAGCACACTCACATTCACACCTACGGACAATTTTAGAATCACCATCAACCTCAACATGTTTTTGGACCTTGTGGGATGAAGCCGGAGAACCCAGAGAGAACCCACGCTGCACGGGGAGAACATGCAAACTCCACACAGCACCTTGCAGTCCTATTGTAGTTAGTGTGATAGACAATCATGTTTGGTAGAAAGCATGCAGCTTAGTTAGTAATACAAATTGTAAAACTGTCCATGGCTACTAGGACATGTAAGTGTAGGTGGGTCTACTCAACAGATATTAGAGGTCAAAGATTGCAGGAAACATTTGACATAATCTCACTCCATGCATGTATCGCATAATTGGGCCCTTTCACTGTGTTCTCATTCTTAACTCCCTGCACATTTCTTGCTTGTTAACACAAAGGTCTCTCCATAAATTAACTTGTGTGCTTTCCTGAGAGAAAGTAAAAAAGAAAAAGCTGGCTCATCCTCCTGTCTGGGCAAAGGAGCATCACTAAAGGGGCATTTACACCTTTAGAGTTCCCATTCGATAGTAACTGCTTAGATGGGATTTTGTTTGGAAATACACATTCCATCAAATGTCACACACACCAAATTGAAGCAAAAGCCAAGTCCAGATAGTAATCAGGTGATAGTGTGTAAATTCTCAAAAACTGTCTTTGTATCTGTATGCATGTTATTTTTGTCTACAGTCCAGATTCTTTTCTTTTTCTTGGATGCAAATGCACATGATCTGTTAAACGTCAATATTCCATTTACAATCATATTTCACAATCTGTCTTATGTCCCTCTAATTTAAATGCAAGCTGGCTGGAAAAGAGAGGATCCACTGACCATGTGTTAAGTCCATGCACGATAATGAATGAACTTCACAGAACTTTGCAAACTGTGATCTTTGTCCTTGTACATCTTCCTGCTGCGCTTCTTGTTGTGTAGGCGAGCAGTAAAGAGAGTCAATCATTGTACATGGGCTGTGTCGACTCCGGTGGCTCAGTTACTTTATCGAGGTACAATAGTAACCTTCGCTGACTTCTGTAGTTAGTCAACAGTCAGGAGAGAAACGCAAAAACAGCAAATCTATTTACACAAAACACACAAGGACCGGAGTCTACACCCAGTCTGTTTACTAACACTAAATGCATGACTTTCAGGTTATTCATGTTACAGGAATACATGAATATTCATTTCAAGCTGCTACATGTTCTGCTCACCTCAAAAAGCAGCGGACGAAGTAAAAACTAGCTAACTTGTTATTTTCTTTGAAGTGGCATCGAAGTCCACGTGGAAGGAAGTTCAATCGAATGTTTGGGGGCAAGTTGCAGAAAGCCCCTTTTGTACTTCTGAGAAACTGGTGTCATCTGTGTTTTTGCTCTTGTGCTTTCTGAAGAAATTTCTGCCACACCCATTCAACACAAATGTTTGGACTATTTGTCTGTCTGCCTCACAGACATTCCAAAAGGGTACATTTGGTGAATGGGTGGAGGAGAGAGAGAGAATGGTGCAGTACCGCAGGCAGAGGGGCAGCAGTGTGCCTGACTCCTGGTTGAATTTCAGATGGACGCTCTCCAACTGTCGTGTTCGGACCAACTCATGAGGAACAATGGCTGCGGAGCTCTCACTCTCCAAACTGTCCTTCCGACTCCTTTGAAAGTGACAAACAAGAGAAAAAGAAAGCGGGGAAGGCAACAAAGGAAACTGTAAGCGAGAAAGTCTCAAACTGGACTATCACTAATGCGCTGATGACTGCGAAAAACAACCACTGTGAAGGAAATGGCAGCTGTTTGGCCAGTAGCTAAAAGTGAGAATACACAGGCACAGATTTTGCAACTCCTACCACAGAACTGTTACCTGACTTTGGAGAAGGCGCAACTAATTCCACAGAAAAATAGCAACAGAAGAGCGACAAACCATCATAATACGCTAGTAGCTAAGAAACAATGGTGATAACAGTTGAGATGTCAGCAGGGCTGTGAGTCACTGCACACGGTGGAGGGAGTTATCCTGGTGCAACCCTTGTGCTGAATTGAACCCGTGTCAGTGTGTGTTGGTGTGTAGGAGGAACACTCACTGAGGTCTCTCGTGATTCTGTCTCTGGCTGCTGATAGGTGGTAGTGCTGCCTTGCTGTTAAACTCTAGTCCTTTTCTCAGGGTCTCCCTGATCTGCTCTGTGTCTGTCAACGCACAGAGAAAAATGAGCCAAGAATAATTCCATTGTGCACAGCTGACAGCATGAAAGCAGAATTCCTGTGTACAGCTTGTTTCAAGCATTTTTTGGATCCACTGGGAGTTGACATACCTTTGTCTGAGAGCCTACGTGGCTGCGATCCTATGCAGATGGATCGACTGTCCTCCTCATCTTCTGGCGGTCGACTCAAATCGTCCCACACACACTTGGCGCTGACCCCACTCAGGTTAGAGCCCTCACTCTCAATACCCTGGTCTACTCTCTCCTGCTTAGAGGAGCAAGAAATATACGCAACTGTTAACACTAGCTCACATAAACCTCATACAAGGTCAACATTTTGCAGAATGAAAATACACTATATTAACATTTATAGGGGAACACATGGTGCCAAATACTGTCACAGAGCAATCATGTATAATTTGTTGTAAAATAACACAACACTGTCTATAAAGGGTTCCCCTTTCAAATGCTTTGTGCATGTGAGGATCACTTTGCTTCTGACATGCAGGACAAATCATTGACCTGTTTCAGACCAGTTTAATCTGCAAGTTATAAATGACTTCCTTTTACGATTTGTGTGGACTTTATAAGGCTTAACTCTGTAAAAATTACGACTCCATTTATTGACCTTCACAATAAACTGCTTGCATAATATAATAGTAGATTGTGGTGACACTATTCATTCTGTTAATATAAAGTACAATTTCCATGAGATGTAACAATATTCCTGAAAACAAAATGCAGTAGAATACAATGCTTATTTAACATTTGTCACACAACAAGTAACTAGCAGCCATAGAAAAAAGGATTCAACCGTATCTCACGCTGTATAAATAAAATATAGTGCACTTAGCTGAGTTTGCAGAATTTAATAAAGCCTTACTTGTAAGTGTGGATCAATGTCAAAAATGGTCTCCCCTCTCCTCATGTCTGTGATTAGCCAGGGGCCACCAGCTCTGTATAAAGAAAAAACATTAGCATTAGTCCAGGTCAGTATTAACTTCAAGCCAAACACACAAAGTTAATGAATGAACAAGTAACTCGGCTGTTAACTTGGTGTTGCCATTTATTTGTCAAACTGGACTCCACACATTTTACTCTGAAGCCACATTTCAGTGACAGTATTTTCAGCCGGTTTAGTTTAGTTTACTTAAGTTCAATGACGGACCATCTGAAGCCAATTGTAAATACTGTCCCTCAACAGATAAATCATTGAGATTTGATTTGCTGCTCTGAACTTAAAGTCTGTTTGTTAGGTTTCGAGCATGTTTTTTACGTCATGCAAGCAAAGCAGATCTAGTCAGTATTCTGAAATAAAGTAGAAAAATCATTGTCAAAAGTCCATCCAAAGTAAATTCACAATTTTTCACCTACAAATGCACTAAAAAGAGCAACTTCTTGTGCATTTCTGAAGCCAAGTTATGCTAATTTGTTGTAAATCATTGCCATGTGATTCAAGGATTGCTATGCTGTCTCACATTAGGTTTGCTTAAAAACCTGTACTTAGATTCATTATCCTAACAGCAATTCTGTAACTAACCTACTTAGGTTTGACAACATCTGTGCCAGATTTAGCAACAAACTGAAACGTAACCATTTTAACCCTCTTAACCCCAAAACTCATCAGTTCGAAATGTAGATATTTTTTGTTTTAAAAATCGTCAAAATTACACCATTGATCAGAGTCACAAGCTACTAGAATATAACTATTAATCTGTGGCATGCCGTTACATCAGAAAACATAGCCACAGCAAAGCTTATAATAATAATAGCATTATAACTTTGTCATACTGCACATAAAACAATTTTTGAGATTTCTTTACCTCTAGTCATAGCGGTGTCTTTTCCGTTAATACTCAAACTTTATGTTGCAGTGAAAAATATGCCCACAATCAATAATAATATGACAGGAGCAAAGAAAAACCTAGAAACTGGTTGGGGCGAAGAGGGTTAAATTCGAAAACATGGCTTCTAAATCTAGTCAAACCGCCTGCTACACAGCTCTACTCACACTCGTATTCCCCGCATCAGCTCCAGGATGCCTTGGCCGTTCCACTGTTGGGCCGCCTGTAGCTCCTCTGTACATACACCCACAATCTATAGGAGACAGTACAGAGTATGAGAGGGTGTCATCCACAGTCGTGTTATTTTGAGAGTGCTTCTTCCTTATTTTGATGAATTATAACAAGAACAAAGGTTTCAAATTGTACAGACTATATTTGCTGTTAATCCAGCTTTTGTTAAAGTAGCAGTGTATAGTATTAGCTGAATGTGCAAATGTGCTTACTCAGATTATTGTTTTATTGGACAATAAAACAGATTTTTTACTTGGATTTATTGGTTTGTCTTTCATGTGTTTTCCATTATTTTAGAATGGAGTTTTGGCTCAACGCGTGAATCTTATAACTACGTTGTGCTTTAGTGCAACTAACATTCAGTGCCCAGTGTCCTGTCATTGGCTTTCCTAATGACTTGTCCAAATCCTCAATCAAACTCCAATAAAGTTGTCTGTTATCTTGGACTTTCTGGAAAACAATTTAATCCTAAAAGAGCCTCATGTGGACTTATTCACACGATTTGACTATCACATATTTGAACTCACCTGGAGAAAGCTCACACAGCCAAACGGAGTTTGAATTGGTTGCATCTGTGGATCTTCTGTAAGCAGCATATGCTGGATACGAGATTCACTGTTATCTAGCGGACTGTGCCATGATACATGGTCACCACTACAAAATGTGTTTTCTGCAAAAGAGAGAACAAAAGGAGGCATTCATTTTCAAAGCATAATAAAGCATGAAACAAAACCTTTAGATATCAAGAAAATGCAGTCATGAAGGTTGACTGAGTGAATCTGAAGTAGTAAATTCAGCCACCAGTAAAAAAAAACACACACAAAAAAAAACAGCCATACTTTACTATATGTCACTATGTGACTGTACTTAAATGGTGAAGGAAGGTTCCTGTTACAGGAAAAGAGGGGACACACATCAGGAAGAGAAAGCGAGTGAGTAAGAAAGAAACTGGGACCCGAATGTGGAAAGAGAAGCATAAAAACTACATTTCTATCTGAGTAAATCTGTCTGCTTGGGAGGTAACATGCACCCAGTCCAGATTTGCTGCAGAGAAAAGAAAGGGAGAAGATGGCCAGGAATCAGCATTCATTTAGCTTAGGGGCCCAGCCCACCCACACGCAAATTGACCCCAGCTGGAAAGCAGAGAAGGGCTGGGTGGTGAGGAGAAGAGAGGCTGCAGTGAATAGCTTTCTTCTCTTTCTGCATGGCTTTAATGCATGCCCCCTCCCTTGTCAACCACATTTTCTTTTGTACATTACATACTGGACTGAAGGATTTAAAGAACTTAACAACACAGCATATAGTCATTATCTGCACAGTGCACATTCATACTACAACAACAGTCTTGTTTGTCATTTGTAAAAACAATCCTACTAAAATGACAGAGGGGGGAAAAGGGAAATTAAACTTCCTGTCAATATGCAGGGCTCCAACAAACACAAATGTACCAAACCTAAAACTGACTCCCAAAGCACACTGCTCCATTCAAACATTTTTAAATGCATCACTGGAATTGCAAGCTACCTTTACAAAGAGCACTTTCTGTGGATTCACAAAGACTTCACATGGTGGTATGGCAATCACAGCCAAAAGGGAGTTGCTCTATTAAAAATCGTGTGATAAATCATCTGCGAGGTTACAAACTAATTGCAGATAAATGAAAATCACAAATCAGTACACCCTGTCACAAACTCTGTGAGTGAAGCATGAAGAATGTATGGCCGTCTAACAATATCTTTGATTACTTATCAATCTGTCTTTTGTTTGATAATCAATTGCTCCTTAAAAACAAACAAAAATGACAGTTTAAGAGCCAAAATTCTTCTCTCGAAACTGATTGTTTGTAATCTGAACAATAACTGAAAAGCATTAAGCTCCACTAAAACCAAGAAAAGCACGCATTTTTTTTCAATCCAACCAGAATAACACCATGTTTGTTGTTTTTAGTACAAGTCTTCTTATTAAAACAGTGTGCAATAAAGTTGTTAAATCTATTTTGTAACTTTCAAGTATGAGATTCAACCACTTGTCTTAACCCATTCCAAATACATTATGTGAAGGACACGAAAAACGGCTCTTTGTTCTTACCTGACTGAAACACATAGCGAGCCAATCCCTGCATGAGCTCAGCCGGCCATGTTGGAGGTGCCGTCTCTCCCACCTCTCTTTTCAGTCGAAAGGTGAGCTCAAATCCAAACCCACTAGGTCCATCCGCCCCTGTAAATCTGACACACACACACACACACATACACAGTTAGGAACTAAAGAAACAAAATTATAGGTTTATTTGTATATGCAAGAGTGCTGTGATAATCACAATACTTGTCAAGATCAACAAACTGTAGAATAACAGAAGGTCATCAAGGCTGGTGTGAGCCAGTAGGTGGGCTACTGTTAATGGGATCCTGACGTGAGCAAATATTTGGCATACTGTAAGGCTTAAGTGCTGATTTCTCACGGTAATCACAATGTAAAATGAAAAGAAACAAATCCAGACAGCTCATCATATGTTGCATCAAATATGCACCGAAATCCACCCCAACTCGATCAGAATACTTACTCATGAACACGATTATCTCCATACAGGTCACTCAGTCCAAAGCTTACATAGTGCCAATGCTCCTGGACGTCCTGAGCTGGACAGCCCGTATTCCTATACATACTGATGTAGTCTAATGGGTCTGGTCCTCCTAGCCTGTGAGAAGTACAAAATGAAAACCCTTCAGCCATGGAAAAACTTGTTTTAGTGGTCAGTAGAGTACGTTAACTCCTCAGTACACCTCTGTAAACACAGTTAGCTTATATTGAAGGCTATAACTACATACAAACACTTCAAGTTAGATTCCTTTAAATCAAAGCTTTTTATTTAAGCTAGCAAAGTTTGGTAAAGTTTGAGTAATCGCAGAAGCTATTTGCAGAGTGTCTTCTTGATGTTAGGTTAGTTAGCTTAAACATTAGCTTGGCCGCTAAGCTAACTCTTGGCTAACGTTCAGCCGCCACAACATAAACTTATTCCCGGTGCCCACATGTATGTCCGACCAGCAACAACACAGTGAGTTACCTACCAATATTTTACGATGGCTGTAACTTGAAGCGGGTTGGCTTGCTCGGGGTAAAGTCGCCGACATTCCCCATAGATAGCCTCCAGTCCGGGGGGAAACAGCGGCACCAGCCCGTGGGCTTGAGCACCACTGGTAGGCCGTACCTCATCCATGCCACGGCCTCGAACAAATCACGTTATTCTTTAAAAAACTACGTATATGCACTAATATTTTGATAACTACCCCCAGTTCAACAAAGGGGGACTAAACTAAACCATGAAAACTTCATAAACGCTATGTTGTACAGCAGTATACGGTCAACTGTTGATCGTTGTGCTACACTCAGCGGGGGCCTGTTGCTCATCCTCGAAAAAAAAATGCCTCACCATTGGTTGGATGAGGGCTACGTCACTGACCGAAGACAAGTGACAGCCAATGAGAATGTAGGATAGGGTTTGTGTATGTTGGTTGATGATTATAATTGGCTCATAAACTGTCAATCAAACCGCAGGAGGCTGTGATTTCAGGGCTGGGACTGAAAAGTTGTTCTTGGGCCAAATGATGGCTGTGAAGGCCAAATGGATCTTCAAAGAGGCTCTCTACTAAGGAGTGGTAGGCCTGTAGGCACTTTAAAAGTAGGAGAACTGAAAAGATTGTTTGCAAGATGTTCTTTCAGTCAGACAAAAATCCATTTCAGTGTATACTTACAATTATATTTTATATTACTGAGCTGTATAAACTAATGTGTTGACATCATTTTAATGATAATGTTATGGCTGGATGTGATGTCACTAATTTAACTGCCTCATTGGTAATGTTAAATCTGCAACAATTAAATCAATCAACCAGAAATCAAAGTCAGCAAAGCAGTTGCTCTTAAAAGGTGATGAAATAGAGCTATGAACTGCCATAAAGTAGAAATACCTCAGCTCAAAAACTTACCTAAGCAAAAGTACTTAGTTGCTTCAGTCATTTTCCACTTTTCTATCCAAAAATGTTTAAACATGATATTTAGAAGAAGAAGCTTTATTGTCATTGTCCATGAAATACAACAGAATTTTGTTTGGCATCATTTTTGCAGCAGCTAATATGGTCACATTTCTAAGAAAAAAAAGTTAAAAGGTGAAATAATACAATAGCAATAACATATGAAATATAAAATAAATACTCTACTATTCATATAGTAATTGTGAATTTTTTAAAAATGAAAGTAAGTGTAGTTGTCAAGATGCCCTACATAACGTGGCTGTAGTAAAATTTCTTTTTAAGACATCACAGCCGTAGTATTATAATGATGCCCTGACTGTGCAGCAACTGGATTTTTGGCTCTTTTATTGCACTGTAATAACTGCATGTGTGGAATTAAAGCACATCATATCAGTTTAAATAGAAGTAGAAACTAGAGTATTTTTGCATGAGGGTGCATAGCTAAATGGGGTATTGATCAAACTTTATCCAAATTTTGGCTTCTTCTGCTTGTTTTTCTTTTGCTTGGGTAGTTTTATCTTTGGACTACATGGCATATTATATTCCAACTAGGTGATGACAAGGAAGTAGTGTCAGTTTATTCAATAAATATATTTGTTTCAGGAACTTAACATGAAAAATAAAGAAAAAAGATGAGAAACTTGAGATTTTTTATCATTACTTCCTTGATAAAAGATGACCATGGCATTGGAACCTGTTTCATAATACCGAATGCAGGCGTACAACATGATAATGAAGCATTGTGTTATAATAATATGTCATATCGATTTAAAATATAAATGATCGACTCCTGCCCGTCAGACGTCAAGAATATATATATTGCCTTATGTGTTTTTGTTGTCACTTTACACATGCAGTGGTATAATAGCAGCCACAATTTGCCACAGTTTACTACCACATACTACCTACATATACACAGGATTCAACCGGCACGTTGAACAACACAACCACTGCTGTGACCTTCAGCTGTGATGTTGTTAAATCCAAGTAATATGTGTGCAAATTCAGCAACCGTGGCATCCTCGGTCTCTGTGATTTAATTTCCACTCTGGCCACTGTGGCACCAGTCCCAGAACAGAGTTTAGCCTGAGGGCTTCACCATCCCAGAATGGGAGCTTTTTTTTTTTTTTAGGGGATTTGAAATGATGTTTTGACCTATCATGGGGCAACCAGAGTTTATCAAGCCTCTTTCAGGAACTGCTGTGAGAGAACCAGCCCCTGAAACTGAATGGACACCTCATTTAATAAAATAGGACTGAGGGCTGAGGTCAAGGATAAGAAAAGGAAGACAGACTGAAAGTATCAGCATCCTGCAGGTCTTGACCTGACTGGTGTTGTTTCAGCTGTATATTAACAGCGCTGGTGATGTTTTTAATTACAATATTATAGAAATTACATGCAGTTCTCTTTCCCTCTGTTTTCACTTTAAATCACCCTACAAAACTTTCTTTAACTGGACTTACTGTGTCCAAATTGTTACATGCAGACTGCAACTATATGAGTTTCTCTTCTAAGAGTCTGCACTTCAGAGGTTTGTGAGGCCTTCTTGTTTGTGTCAGTGGCCCTTTGACTTGTTCGTGTGAAACAGGAAGGACATCGATATGATTCACTTGTGCTGGCTGCTTCTCAGCTGTATATCGTGCATTCAGTTGTTCAGTCTCTCTCACTGGGCATGTGCTTTGTTGTTTGGGTTTGGCTTTCCTCCCATCCTCATTCACTTTGTTCATTACACCTTACATTCCATTCTTCCATACTCTCAAGGCAACATAATTTTACATTCTCCTTAGTTAACTTATACTAAAAAAAATATATATCAAAAGTCAAAAGGGCTCATTTGAGATGTCATTGCATCTGCAGCTGGAAATTTTGTTATATTCCCACGATAGTCTAATTAAAAAGGATGCTGGCTGTCATATCTAATCATGTTGTTCAGCCAATGCTGCTAACAGGCTATCACCATGGCTGTAGATTTTGTAGAACTAGAGCTGAGATAACATCTGGAAACAGAAGGTCAGCATGTGTGGGTTCAGTATGTAACGTGGCAGCCATTGTATTTAGGAAAATTACGAAATCTTTCCTGTGAACTGTGTAACTTGCATTTTGCAATATTTTACACGTCAAACAAAAGGTTAAATAAATTACAGAGAGAAATCATTCATTTTGATTGACTTTATTGGCAATATTAACATTACATCAGCTTGAAAAAGTCAGTAATTTAGAAATGTTTATTTTATTGACAAGTAGAACTCCTTGTTCAGGATTTTAAAAAATCTGCATCATACATAAGCACACAGATAAAAGTAGAGTGGAGTGAATGTATATCACATAAGTCTCATTGCTTTTACATGGTCATGCTTTCTGCTGCCTCGTGATGTGCAGTATATGGCTGACAAACGAGTACCATGCCAAAAGAACTGAGCCCATAGATGACACCTAAAGATGCCACCATCTATGGAATTCAGTTCTCATAGTAGAGCACTTATCACAATCTGGTCTCTAGCAGCCCCTTGATCCTTGAAGGGCCTTGAAACAACTCACACTTTATTATCAAAACTCTTCACAGCTCAGCCTATATATTAATATAAAAAAAAACACAATGATGCCAAAAACAACCAGCAAAACAACATGAAAATTGAGAAAGTTATCAATAAATAAAGTTTATGACGGTGAGTTCAAGAGAATTGATATAACCTGTTGAGCAGCATGTGTGAGTTGAGTCACCCATCCCCATTTCTCAAGAAAAACAGGGTGATGATGAGACGATAACGTCAGCCCTACTTCTTCCACTGTAAGATTGTGAAAGAGTTCATCACAGTGGGAACTAAGGTTGATCTGAAACAGCTATCAGTCATAGTTGACATTTGCACCATACTGTAGTGCATAAACTAATTTAAAACATTTACTTTAAAAGAATAAAAATGGAAAAAGATTGAAAGATGCTAAGTTAAAAATAACAGCAAAGTGGAAAACAAACCTCCAAAATGCAGTTATTATTGAATAGATCCAATTCTGTGGTTAGAAAGAGCCTGTGGAGAGTTCCGGGGTCATCTGAGGTATCCAGTCATCTTTACAACTTAAGTATTACTGGAAATGCCGCACAGCCACTGAAATGAAAGTCTGTCCACTGGGCTGATGCAAGCTCTGAATCAGATCATGGTGATAGTGCTCTGGTCAAGGCATGAAATGACTCATCAGTTATAGCCGTACACTCCCAGGAAAAGAACTTTGGGACGGTGTAATTAGTTACACGCAGTTGGTCGATGTATCTTTGAACCCTAGAATGTGAGTTTGATATTAACTGACCTGCGCTGGTATACAGATCCTCTTCCTTCATCTGAAAAACACCCCATTCAAGGCCTGGAGTCAATATTGACAGTGATAGTACAGTGAGATAATACCCCGGCGTTATCTCACTCACTGTGCTTTATTCATTATGAGTGTGCATTCTTGTAAGGAACAGTACAGTACAATGAATTTTCTAAGGAAGGCCACACCTGAGCACGTTCAGGAAACTCATATCTTTTTGGCAGTTGGACTGGGAAACAACCGGTTCTACGGCCTATTACAAGAAAAGAAATCCCCTGTGAGGGCATCAGTTGCCTTAGAGTGCCCACAAAATTAAAAAAGCCTTCATTTGGAGATCAGATTGGTTAACACAGTCATATCTAACATTCTTTATCTGCTGGAGTTCAGAAAGTATGGAAGTCAGTATTTGCTTGTAAGAACTCTCCTACTTAATTAAAACATGTTTATAGCTAACGGCACATCTGACAGTTTTAACTAAATCATGCCCAGCTAAAGCAAAAAAATACAAAAAACAAAACAAAATTTGATCAGTTTGAGAGTTCTCTATCAACATACTTACACCCGTCTTTCAAAGTGGATTTTCTTTCCAGGTCCTGGATACATCAGAAATAAACCTCCTCGCAAAAGGCCTGTTCTCTTGAAGAGTGAAGCTCGTAAACACACTACAGCAATCCCACCTCACCAGAGAGATGTTTTAGCGTTGAATCAGCAGCAAGCCCTTCCTCACAGAATGAACATACATCCCTCCCCAGTTCACCTGCATGTTCTGTTCTCTCTCTCTCTCTTCCACGTCCTCTAAGTCCCAAGGAAGGATGTAAGCATACTGTCTGACATTCAGAGTAAAGGAACCTTAAATACCGCCACCTTTCACATCACCCATCAGCCTCCCTCCTCTCTGTTGTTCATACACTCCCTCTGTACGGTAAGCCTGACAGTCACTTCCCAGTAAGAAGGAAGCAGTGGGAGTGAACAGCACGCCCCCTCACAGTGAATCAACACATAATAGTTTCTGAGGAAAACCATCTGACTTGCCCTGCCCCCTGTTCCCATAAAGTAAGCAGGGGAAAGGCTGTGTCTGCTCGAGGAACCAGGAATTCCCCCACAGGCCGTGAACAGCTGTCGAGATGAGAGAAGATGACGAAGCTGACACACTGGAAGTTTGCCGGCCAGGCGTATGCAAACAGAAACCATGTTTGGTGTATTCTCTGTGCGTATGAGTGAAATAACGTTTAACGCTACAGTATATTTACATAATAGGGCAATTGGAAATTCTGTCTACGCGGTGTGGGTGTCGAAATGCACACTCACGTTTGGGCTGGTGACGTTATGTTTCCTCGACAAGTTTTTAAAAATAATCTTGTCTAAATGTCATTCATCAGCACTGCACCGTGTGTCACTTGCGTCACGGGAATGTTTTGGACGATATCGATTCATTTAAGTATTTGAGTAGCTGGAGTTATTTATTCAGGTGAGGTCTGACCGGGGTGTATTCAAAAACACAGCCCTTCTAATATAACTTTGTTTGCTCGCTGGTCATAGCCAAACATGACAGGGATGTGATACTGCTCTAGTTCAGTCAGACGAACAAGACGGAAGTGGGTCAGCAGCGTAAAACCACTGCTTTTAAACAAACCGGCAGACGGTATTGTTCCAGAAGGTTAATAGTTTCATGACCCTGTAAAAACCCTCTGATTTTCGTGTGAATACGAGAAGCTAGCCTGGACTTGATTCATACTTCCCCAGAAAAAGCCCTGTCAGTTTAATTCAATGGATTTCCTTGATCTGGACAAAAGGGGATTCCACATTGCGTTGGAAAATTTACAGCAAAGTTCCCTTCTTGTATATGGATGCATGATTGTGTATAGTTCCAGGATGTAGATGTTGAGAAATTGTGTCACGGCTTTTGTTGTTTTGCAATGGAGCGCAGCTACATTATGTAGGGAGTTTAACTGAAATGAAACCAGCAGAATAAGAGGTACAGAGACCCCATAGAGTCCCACCATTGATGTGCAGTGACTCTAGAATCCACTTTCAAACTACATCCTTGGGCTGGTGGGATAAGTTGCAATTGACATTTTGCGCTGGACTTCAGAAACAAGCCTGGCTTTCATGCTGGTGTTTGAACACTGGGGAAATCACTCGCAAAGGTCACTGAGCCCATTTCCTTTCTTTCCTCCCCATGCATCTAAAGACCTGTAACAGCCCCTTTCAACTGCACTTCAGTTACTGGCAGACATATTCAAATTTCTATATAGGAAGTGAAAGAAGGTGTAAGTAACCAAAGAGCAAATAGGAGATGAGACAGCATTTTTTATTACAGCTTTTCCTTGTTTGTACCACTGTTGCTTTAACAGACATTATACAAGGTTTACGTAGCATAATTAAAGACAATACTGATATCTTTTTTTATTTATCTGCCCCATCAATAAATTCGTTTTAACTCTCGGAACCTCAAAACCAACAGTGGGTTTGAAAGGCATGTTATCCTAAAAAAGAAAAAAAATCATCATTCTGTGTTCCAGGGTAAAACTATGAAGTCATTAGTGATTCAACGGCAACCAACAATCACGTGACAAAAATTCTGAGTCGGTAGCAAACATTTATGGAAACAAATTTAAAATGTAGGTAGTGAAACATCTACAGTATGTAGAGCCACTGTTTTTTCAGTGTTGGTAACACCTTTTTTTTATTTTTTAAGAATATAATGTCATGATGGTCTTGTTATATTGCAGGACTTTATATTAGAGTACAAATGAGGCCACAGTGAGTAAAAATGGGATTCAGAGGGTTAACATATTACACGAGTCCCTGACAGTCCTCATTCAAGTATCCTTTGGCTTTTTAAATCGCAGCACCACTACATGTCTCTGAAGGCCTTCTTCTCCATCCCACAAGTGATCCAGAGAGAAAGTACCCTTCTGCTCCACAAACGTCTCAAACAGATGTAGCCCACCACCTACACCAAAGTAGTGGGATTTGGTGGCCAGGTACACCAGTCCATCTGGTGCCAGCAGCTTGTGGAGGGTTTCATGTAGCACAGGGTAGTATGCAGTGTTGTAGATTGTCTCTGAAGTGAATATAATGTCAAATTTGGGGTGTGTGTCCGTCTTTAGAACCAAACCAAGAAATGTGCTCCAGTCACCAGAGAAGAAATGACACCTAGTCAGTAATGGGTGCTGGGAGAGGTCTACAGCTCTTTTCTTTGACGGGGGGTTGCTTTCCTTTACCTCCTCTTTTGTTTTTGCCTTCTTTTTACAACCATCTTCCTCCTGTCCGTTTCCCTCGCCTCTCCCTCCGTTGTCATCGTCACTGTCTGCTTCATCGTCCTCTTGGCAGTTCAGCATTACATTTGGCACCGTGAGCTGTTCAATGACAGTACTGTTGTAATCTTGAAAGTGGACCTGTGTGGCTCCTCTCTTCAGAGCCAGTATTCCCAGCAGTCCGGCACCACAGCCCAAATCCAAAACCGCCTTCCCCCCAAAGGTCTCTCCGTCTTTCTCAATCTGCTCCAGGAGGTCATACGTGCACTCCCACACCTTCAGCCCTCCCTCGTACACGCCAGAGATGAGATCAGACCTCTGCTCTGCCGTGCGAGAGAGAATATTCTCGTCGTCCTCTCTCTCCGAGGCCGTCTTCTCAAAAACGGTCTCGTTCAGAAAGTGCAGAGGAGGAAGAGTTCCAATGGAAACCGTTTCAAAGACAGCATCCGCGAGGAGGAACTGTGGGTCAGATGGTGGAAGGTGCTCTTTGGCCTCTTTCACTGGTTCTGTTGGTTTGGTGTTATCTTTGATCTGCAAAACACAAAGCAGTATACATGGTGATGGGATAAAAGCACTTCCTCAGCTACATGTGTGCAATTTGTGGAAAACGTGTTTCAGGTTGACAATATCATGGCTTGAGACAAATTCCCTGCAGATAAAATTAATAAATGAGCACGTGGAGGTTGATGCAATGACTTGGAGCGTTTTGAGATTGAAATAATGGAACCTTTGGGTCTTCGCAGGAATTTGCGAGGAATTGTGGATGTTTTTTTATAGATGTGTCATAAGCTGTAGGCGCTTCACAGGAAACAAAAGGAAAACTGTTCATGTACAACTAATTCTTACTAACTTATTTTCTCACTTTAGATTCTTGTATTTGTATTTATTTTTAAACTGTACAAACTGATACAACCAGCAATAATGTTGAAACAGCTTTTTTGAGACATTTTTCAAGTTTTTTTTCTCTCTCTCTCTCTCTCTCTTTTTTTTTTTTTTAAACAATAATGCGCTAAAATGGCTCTGAGCTTCAGAGAACATGAGTAAGTAACATCAGCAAATACAACGAAAGCTGCAAGATCTGGGCTCCTTGTGGACGTGACCATCAACACACAAGAGCTTGAGTATTAAAAATAGAACAGTTTGATTAATTATAAGTTGGTTTACAATGCTGCAACAATCTACCTTATCTTGATTGACTTAACATCTATTTATTAGCAGGGTGCGGAGGAATTTTTGGCACTCACACAAAGAGTTTTTAGCCAGCTCTAAAGGAAAATCACCAGGACCAAAATGATAAAAACTGGGAATAAAAAAATAAATACATCTTTTTGTTGATTGGGACTTTATTTATACAAGCATAGCCGAATTTTCTTCATCAAATGGCCAGAAACAAAAGGAAAAAATCCTAAATTTACGTCAAATGATGTCACACAAACTGACTGTCTTTACAGTATGTGGACTTCCCTGAAACCACTTTGAGCCAATCTCTTACTGCTGCCATTCTTTTCTATCCCTGTTGAGAATGACTGGAAGGCCGGTCGAATGGCTGATGAACTTAACCATGAAACTATTACAAATCAGCCACGTGAATCACTGTGTGACTAAAACGCTGTTTGCTAGAGTCATGGTGGGTCAAATGTTTTATGGAGTCACACCCACAAGTGCACAACAGTTTCAGATAAAACAAAATGCCTGGAGAGCTTCTTGCATGCCTAAGAATTTGGGCGTCAGACATATTAATAGCGACTCATACAGTCTGCTATCAGTTTAAACTTGTATGACTACCACCTGGACTTTTATTGACATGCCTCAGTGCTGTGATGTCAACGCTCCTGAGCAAAAAGATGATCAACCTACGCTTTCTAATGGATGCATACCCAGCAAAATAATTTTTATTGTTGATAAACTATTATGTAATAGTTCTTACACTCTACAGTATTTGATTAAACAATCATTTGTGTAAGTGAAGAAGTGTGACCCTACCCTTTTCCGTTGTGTCCCATTTGAGAGGGGCCTGGATTTATTTATTTATTTCTGTAACTACTGAATCAGCAGACAGGTCTTTCGTTTTGTAACTGAATAAATCTTAAAACCAATACTATTATATCATTGTAATGATTTTATAGTGCAGTCTGTAGAAGGAAATGTTCACAAGGTAGAACTCATTCCCTCTGGTGGCGCTGCTCTGCAAATGACACAGATGCAACATGATTCTGTATGTTTGTGGCATTGTTGTTGTTTTTTTTACCTATGTTTGTGATTGTTGGATTTGAACAATCAGTGTATGTTCGAGAGAGTAAAATATTTATTATTATTATTATTACTCTTATTATTATTATTATTATTATTATTATAAGACTAGAAATGGTATAAAATCATGTATTGGTTGATCACATTGTTTTTTGTGTTATTTCAGTTTAATAAAATAATTCAATCTGGTCTACAAACTACAGAAATCATTTTACTTAATACTAAATACACACAAAAAAACACGAGTAAATATTCCTGATAAGTAAATAAATACAGCTTGAAATAAATCCTGAAATTAATAAATTAGACAATACATATAAGTAAATACAATGATGAAATAAGTAAGTTTCTATTTTTAAAAGGGACTTCAAAAAAAACTACTGCTGTTTATTTCAAATGACTTATATTTCCTAATGTGACCATGTTTTATTATTTCAGGCATTATTTTACAGAGATAATTTAAAAAATATATATTTCTGTTTTTATTTAACATTGAATTAAATAGATTTTTAGAATAATCCGGGTTATTTGAATAATAAATAAAATATAATAAATAAAAAAAATAAGAATTTTCAGAGTTAAGAATAAACTTTCATGTGCAATTTTTTTTTTCTTCTCTTTCTTCATTTTGATGCTCTGCAGACCTTACTAATGGTTCTGGGATCGTTTGCACATTAATAGAAAGGAATACAATGCTGCTATTTCTGCAGTAATACAGTTATTCTAAAAAGAGACAAGAAGTTGCTAAGACTCCTGTTCTTCCCTTTATGGTGCAAGCAGAGACTGAGTGAAGTTATTTTTTAACAACTACCAGATTTACAGAAGTCCTGCATCGAAGTAAACTGCAACCTGACATTACTAGCTACTTAACAGCTTTGAGATTCCCGAGTTACTTAGCCTGCATTGCACATTATTAGTACATTATTAGTGAGCTAATGTTACTCACAGCCTCGTCTTTCTTTCCATTTTGCAACTTATTTCCGTCCACGTCGTCGGAGTTTGTTGTTTGTGCAGGAAGGTCGAAGTTAAAGCAAAACGACATTATGACTGCCAACGCCGACCACGGATAGATTGAGGTTGGAAACTTGCTATCAACGTTTCAACAGAAGACCCACATGGCAAACTCGTGTGAAAGCCTAGCTTAGCAAAGCAGCTGCGTGTAAAAACTACAAACCCCACAATTCTGTAAAAATATATCGTCACCGGCCCTCGAGTTTTGAGTTTTCTGTTACTGATGTAACCAAATCGTTACAAGTTTACGTAACAAAAGGTAACATGTAACATAAAACATGTTGACACGTGAAGGTACACTTGTAGAGGAATAACTGTGTGTATCGTTTCCTGACTCTGTTTACCACAATGCATTTCGGCGGTGTTGTCGCGCATGCGTGCTAACTGTAGGTCAGGATTCAGATCAGTTAACTGTCAGTCACAGGTCTCGATCTCGCTACCCTTGGCAAATACATGGCTATTATCCCGTTTTTTGCTCTCCTTTCGAAAATGTCGACGGGAGGAATGGTCTCTGCGAATTTCTTGTCTTCATAGAGCAGTAAGTATTTCTCTCGTTAGTCCGACATGCATTTCAAAGATCAAAATACGAGCCGCAGTACACAGCGACGGATATTTGAATTGGAGAACAGCGAGTGACATCCAAACAAAAGGGATTTGAGAGCGCTGTGATTCAGTGAGGCTGCTCACTGAAATGTGTATGTTGGGCAAATTTATAGTCCGTGCTTCCACGAGGAGACGGCTACAGTTAACTGAATTACGGTGGTCTGTATGAAACCTGTCATCGGCTGATGAGTGAAGCTGAACGCTGCTGCAGGCACAAGTCAACTTCACTCCAGACCACTGCCCCCTCACACCTCATAAAGCTGCAAAATAAAAAAAGGAAAAAAAAAAAAGAACAACTCCACCCAGACTCCACCCTGTCCGGAATGCTGCACAGCAAGATGATTATGTCTGCCTAGGCTGCTGGCACGTCCTATAAACTGATGTACCTTGGATATCTTCTATATTTCTGTAAATGCACCTGCGGATACTCAGGCCTTTTCATCTCCGCCTTTAAACTGTAGCTGTACCTGATGAAGTTTAGGTGTCTGTCTTAAAACAACTTTAACAAATCAAACTTGACTAAATCTCAAGTTCAACGAATGGTAAGTTTAATATTATCCACTTGGTTAGAGCTTCATAAGCAAAAAAACAAAAACATTTTCTGTTTTCAACTGCTTATCTGCTTTGATATGTATCTGGATTAAGAGTAAACTGAGCATCTTTAGGTTGTGGTTAGTTTGTCATCAACATTGTTTCACTGTTTTCCTACATTTTATTGACCAGGTGATTATTGACTAATGAGAAAATAATCAGTCTCACACTACATCGGCAGTAGAGATTACTTTCTATGTCCTCTTTGTTATAGATGGATGGATTATATGTGCAACTAGTGGTACATTTTGCAGAAAGGGGCACAATTTTTTGAAGCACATGTATGTCATGTTGAGATAAAGCTGTCTCAGTCCATTATTAACTGTGTCTTTACTTTCCTTGTAGGTGCGTGCATACTGCAGATGCAGGATGCGGTGGTGTCCCAGCTCTGTGCTCCACCTGCTGCGCTGTGTGCGGCTACGGTTGTGCACCAGGCGGGGAAGGAACAGACTGCCTTTGTGGATTAGGGAAAAATGGGCTTACATGAAGCTGCTGGTGCAGTCACTTTACTTTAACTCTCTCACAGACTCAGATGTGGTTTTTGACTCAGTCTTTGAGCCTGTTTTTTGGACCGTGGATTATATCACCCGCTGGTTTGGCTTGGTGAGTGTGTGTTACGAGAAGTTAGTACGTTTAGTTTTTTGGCTTCTGAAGGCAGCTCTTAGTGCCAAGAAAAAGTATATGAACCTTTTAGATCAACGTGTTTCTCTTCATTAATGAGTCATAATTGGTTCAAATGTGATCGGATCTTCATCAAGTATAGACAGCTTCATGTGCTTAAAATCATAATGAATGATTATAATCTTTCAGTACTTTCTATCAGTGGATTCTTGGATTTAATAACTACCAGGAATTCTTTTATTACAATAACCTCAAAAAAAAAAAAACATTTGAAGTCATTATAAATAAGCCCTACTCAACACACAGGAGGAATTCAACCTTCACTTTGTTAGTCACTGAGACATTTTCCTGAGGGCATTCATGGTGTCAATGCTATTTGGCAATCTTCAGACATGCAGTGATGATTGTTATTAGGGCGCAGCAGGTTCTTTCATAGTGTCCTGACACAGACATTAGAGATGCCTGTTCAGTGATTCACATGTGACAGACTCGTGAACATAGATAGTAACCAGCTAAGTAGCCCCTTGAGGCGTATAGTTGTTAAAGGTTGTTGAGGTAGCTGGTTGCCCACTTCAAGGGAGATTAGCCACAGTACTAATCTCCATTTATAGACAATATTTCAACCCTAACAAGTCTTCATCAGACAGATGAAGACCTGTAAGGTCAAAACGTTCCGTTCTGTCAGTCCATTAAAGTTTCTTTGAGCTTTTATCCAGTGTGTAGACACTCTTGACTGGAACATTGAAGGGGATGTGCACACATAATCTCTTTGATATTAGCCTAGTAGTTACTTTTTATACCCTTTTCAACATACAATATGAATGCATTGACAATATGGACAAGAACAATATGATTTGTGTGTTTTTAGTTGAATTAAACTGCATCTGTTCATGTGTAGATGAAGATCTGATCATATTTCAAAGTAAATGTATATGTAAATGAGGATAACTCTTTTGGGTTGACTTTGTTTTTCTTGCCACTGTATGATTTTTCCCACTTTTTTCTGTAAGGTGTTTGTTTGTCTGGTGGTGATACTGGTCAGCTCCATCTTGATGATCGCCTATATGGTCCTGCTGCCTCTGGTCCTCAACACTTACTCCCCTCCATGGATCGCTTGGCATATTTGTTATGGACACTGGAACCTTGTCATGATTGCTTTCCATTACTACAAAGCTGCCAAGACTTCCCCTGGGTTTCCCCCTACAGTAAGCTATAGCATCCACTTTACTGCTGATAGTTTGGCTTATCTGGTAATCTGGACTCTTTTAGTAATACAAAACAATGCTGTCTTTCTTTCAGGAAAAAAACGACAGTCCATTTGTGTCAGTCTGCAAAAAGTGCATCATGCCTAAACCAGCGAGAACACACCACTGTGGTATCTGTAACAGGTGAGTCAGTGTCACGTTTCTCCTCTTCAGTTTTTTTTTAATTGATGAGAATCAGGTGTTTTGCTAAATAAGACAATTTGTATGTTTCGACCACCAAAGTTATGTTGGTGGATAAAAGGTCCTGAGTGCTGTTAGAATGAATCTAAAAATTTAGAAATCGTCACACGACTGCAAAAGGTTAGCAGTGGGCATGTCTTGCTCTGCGTAAAGTTAGAGAAACTTGTTGACAGTTTATATGTTTTGTGTGGTCATTACTGCTGTACCTCTGCATATCTTGCAAAAAACACTTCATAAAATCTAGTGATTCTTAAAGACCACACATGCAAAACTATATCAGTTCATACAAATCACCCCCAGCTCCTTAAAATCTCAATCAAGACAATATTTTCCTTTGCCTTTGCAGGTGTATTCTGAAGATGGACCATCATTGTCGTATCCTTTTAGTGCTAAATTTCCTCCACTGGATGGTTTTATAAGCACTGTCAGAAAATGCACATAAAGACTCTGCAGGGACAAGAGAGTGTTCTTCCTTAATGTCAGCACCTCAGCCTGGTTGAACAACTGCGTGGGCCATTTCAACCACCGTTACTTCTTCTCCTTCTGTCTCTTCCTGACCCTGGGCTGTGTCTACTGTAGTATCAGTGGCAGAAACCTGTTCCTAGATGCTTACAATGCTCTCGAGGTAAGATACGTAGATAACTGACGCCTGTGGGTCTGCTTGGCGTTTTTTTTTTTTTTTTCTTGTTAGATTTTATCTCTTAAAATTTCCTGCATGTCTGGTATCTTTGTCTGTGGGGCTTTAACTGACGCTGCCTTGTTTCTGTCTTTAACACTGGGGTTTGTGTACGCGGGCTGTTCCATTAGCGCTTTAAGCATTTGGATATGGAAAAGCCGGGGATACCAGTAACAGGGATGGGAATACTTATAGGGCTTCTCCCTCCTGGCCAGGTATAGTCTCATAACACAATAAAATTTGATTGTGTGTTTTGTTTTTTTTTGTCTGTCAGTTGTGTAATATGCTGTTTTTATTTTTGTCAAGACCAACTATCAGACATCTGCACCTTCGTACACCTTTAAGGAAAAGATGATTAATAAGAGCATCATCTACATGTGGGTGCTCACCAGGTAAAACATGCTTTTCATCTAATCCTTTGTCCTACATAGTATTGTGCCACCTAATCTTACCTCAGTCCATTCTACAGACTAATTCAAAGCAGCTTTTGTGTGTGAAATATGTTTACAATGGAAAAGCATCCATAGAAAGACAAAGATATCTCTGTGTATTAAATATGTTTATTTTTATGCTTTTTGTTGATTGACAAAATATAAATTAGGGAGCTGCACAAAATCACATTGCTGCTTCTGTAATATCTCAAATAATAAAAGATGGAAAACAGTTTTGGTTACACTTTGTCATGTACCAACTATTCCAGATTCAGAATTTGACACCTCTTTCATCTCTTGGTATTAGTGAACGATATAAAGTACATTTTTTTTCTTTCATGCGAACTACAAACATGATTTTTTTAATCAAAAGTTAGTATAGAATTGGGACAGGGTTGTTGTCTTTTCTTATCTTGGCACTGGATAAAATGAAATGCGCTTTGTGTTTTGTTCTGTTTTTTTTTTTCAGCACAGTGGGAGTGGCTCTGGGAGCTTTAACCATTTGGCATGCAGTTCTCATATCCAGAGGGGAAACCAGCATTGAAAGACACATTAACAGCAAAGAAAGGAAGCGAATGGCCAAACGGGGAAAGGTGAGCAGTTTGATAAGTAAAATGTTAAAATAATTCTTGATGTGATAAATAAAGGGAAACTCTTTCTACGATGAGCCACGAACTCTCAAATAAAAAAGGATTGTTGTGTTTTCATTAAATTGGCAGTGGCTTGGAGAGGTGTTACACTTTTCATCCTATTTTTCTTTTTTCTTTTACAGGTGTACAGAAACCCGTTTAACTATGGCAGGCTGAATAACTTGAAAATCTTCTTTGGTGTGGAGAAAAGAAGGTGTGTTTCTCTGAAGTTTGCACAGATTTTCTTACAAGGTGTTCATATCATTTCTATGACAAATGCTGCCTTGTGCGCCCTGTAATTTGTGCTTCCTTTTTTTTTCTCTAGTCACTGGGTGACTCGTGTTCTCCTCCCCTCGGGACACGCCCCACATGGCGACGGTTTGACGTGGGACGTCTTCCCAGTTAAAAAGGACCCAATACCTGTATGACAGACTCTGCTTAGGCATGCTTGTTGCCTAATTTGTCACTCTTTGCTTCGTCAACCCATTTTATCAGGTTGGCTGAAAGAACTCTTGCTTTGTGGCTCCAAAAAAACTGAACACTTGGACTAATGTCAACCTCCAGTACCTCAAACACTCGCTGTGGCATCGCTCAAGGTCCCACAGTCTACATTTTTCAGCAAGGCAATGCATCATGAATGGTTTGTTCTCTACTGGGTTTACTTTTTCCTGCATCCTTTTTTTTTTTTTTTACTTCACTCTGAGCGTTGTGCTATCATGGGTTTGATATTTTTATACGCCACATATACTGACTGAACTGTCTTTGTTCTGCCAATGCTTTTTTTTTTTTAATTCAGAAAACAAAAACAAACAAACCCAGTGGTTCATCTCAGCGCCTCCCCCTCCTTATCCCATTTCCACACGACTGTCCAATATTATCATTTGATTCAAACATTCATTCATGATAATGTTATTTATCTGTGTTTTGTACCTATTAAGTTAATAAATCTTTCTAACTTGCTTTATTTAAATAATTTTACACTGTTGATTTCCATTTTTAACCATGGTACACAATCACTGTTAAAAATAGGAAACACATTTCATTTTAGGAAATCTAAAATGCATTTTTGCACCTGAGTCTACATACCTGCCAGTTATATTATTCCTTTATTTTTCTACAGGATCACTTAATAATAAACTGAGCAGACAAAATCCAGCGCCAGAGTTATGTCACAGTGTTATGCTGACAGACCCGGAGTCATGCTGCTAGAAGAGGATGATTAGTTGAGATACATGCCAGATTTGATCTGCAGATTCATATGAATACGATTACATCACAAATAGGCAGACACAGCAGCTGAGATGCCCAAAGATTAAAGTACATGAGAAATATAGAAGCTTTACTTATAAATAAGATGTTGGTTTTAATGACAGGAAGCGGTGTTGCTAGAGAATATTATAGAAATATGTATTTAATATTTGTGATTAATGCATTTGAGCTGGTAAATAGAGAATATGTTCTGCTGTTGCCAGTAAAGCAGGAATGGAAAAGAAAGAGGTTGTCAATAAAGAGAGAAGAGATTAAGGGATGATAACAGATTTCAGCTTGACTCTAACCCTCTTAACCCTGAACACCCTCTGAAGCAGACTGCACACACACGCTTGTCTTTTTATTCAGTCTCCCAGCAGATGTCAGTGTTTAACGTGTCAAGTTTGCACAGAGGGAGCACGCTGGGAAGATCACAATCATTTATGATAATAAATGAGAGAAAAACTATTTAAATGAAAATCAGTTTTCATACATTCTAGCAAATATGAAAGATTTTTACTTGTAATTTTAAAATACACATTCATTTAGTTTTATCGTTTTCTTTCTAGTCTTGGGTGTATTTTTGTAGCACCCTATTTTCATTTTCTCCATTTGTGGTATATGCGGTTCTTTCTGCATGAGCAGCCATTTGCTACAGTGATGCGCTGTGGGGAATTCTTGGCCTAATTTTATCATGGTTGTATGTTAGGCTAAGAATAATCTGTATAGTAATTTGGCTCATTATGTGCACTTATTCCCTGATGCTAACAACACTCTACACAAGAACCCTGTTGGTGTAAGAGACACTAATAGGGCACCTCAGTTTATTTATAAGGTTAGGTGTTGCTGTTTCTTACGTTTACCTACGCACTATTCAAATGAGTCAGCAGATAAGCTATATAGCGCCTACTACATTTTTGTGCCAAGATTAATTTGGGCAGGATTAACATGTTCCTGAGACAAAGTTACCACACAAGCCAATATATTTAAACTTGATGGTTAATTTTATTTACACATAACACACACACATCTTAAAACGGCAGATTTATTGATGACAGTATACCAAGCAGTGTGCACAAAGCTTTACTCCACTGAAGGTGCTAAGGAATAGAAGTCCAGCTTTGTGCATAATAAAGGGACTTTTAGGAACAGATACCTGCAACAACAGGCAGTTTTCTAATTTTTCAAGATGACACTACATCAGGCAGTTTGCACACTGTTTAGTTCAGTTGATTCTTTAAACAAATACACAATAAAAGTCAAACTTTTTGCACAATATTGGTATTTTAAGGAAGAAACACCAGTAACCAAAGCTTCATTTTTAATGCGACAGTGTATCATGTATATGTGCAGTTTGCACAAGTTTTATTCAAATTAAACTGTAAAAAGATTAGGAATAGAAGTCCAGCTTTTTGCACATTATTGGCGTTTATTTTAGGAATGAAGACTTGCAGTTACCGTTGATTTGCTAATTTGTTAAGATGAAATATGCCAGGCTGTTTGCATACAGTCTTATCTACTAAAGCTGTCAAGAGATTTGTCATAGAAGTCCAACTTTTTGCTCAAACTTGGTATTTTTAGGAAGAAACACCAGCAATCAGTTTCGTATTTTTTTTATATGAATACAAATCTACGAATATTTAACTGCAAATGTCAGCTTTGATGAAAACACTAATTCAATTTTGAAAAACATACATTTTCCACAATATGTATAAAAAAAACAGATTCAGCTGAGCATCTCAGACAACAACCCACGTTGAAAAACACACGTATTGCAAAATAGCCCTCAACATTATTTTTCTGTTTGTTGTATTTTTCACAACCGTTATCATAAAGAATAATAAATTCTTTGTTTAGTAAATGACTGATTCATTATCTTCAACCCGCGCTATTATTCTGAAGTCCCTTTCTGACGCAATTCGTAGACCTTGCGCATGCGCGCAGACTAGTAGCGCTTTAAGACTAGATCAGTACAAACGGATTGCGCGGGTGGGCTCTTTTCATTATGATTTGTGGGAAATAGGGATATTGATTGCATCTTTTTTGGAGCATAGATTTCGAGGCTCTGCAGGATCTGACAGGTCACCGGCCCACCTGCCCCGCACGGACACGCGTACCCCAGCTGTCACCCTGCTGGTTCCATCGCCTGCTGATCGACGCGTCAGGATCCGGTGATAAGTTCACTTGGAAACAAGTTCGGATGTGGCAAGCAAACTGCAGACGAATGCATAATTTAGCAGACTGGATTTCTGGTAAGAAATTAATGAAAGAAAAATTAATCACAGCTGGGTTTTTGTTTTGTTTTGTTTTTTTTAAAATAGTGATCCAGAGAACAGCTTGTGCCTTTTAATCGAACCTCATATGTTAATTATTTAGCACATAACACAAATTGTAATAGTTCATAAAAACAGTTCATATTTGTGGAACATGTGAATGGAGAATCAGAGCATGAGCTTGAGGCGCGTGCCCCTGTCAGCTGGCAGTACACGTGACATAAACAGAGCAGCTTGTCTGACCTCATAGGAACAAGGAGTGCTGAGCTGTCATTATTCCCTGATGATGCTCTTCAAATCATTTCACATCATCATTAACTGTTTATATGTCACACGTGCACTAAAAAGCATCTGTATTAGAACAAATATCAGATATGATGCACACAGATTGGTGATTTTTCTCCTTGGCCTGCTGTGCAGGGACAGTGATGGGAGGCTGTGTGGGGAGGAGCAGGATGGATGGACAAGTGAGCGCCCGGAGCTCGACAAGGAGCAAAAAACGTGGAGGTAAGAAGCTGGAATACAGCGGTTGTTGAACTAAGCACACATCTTAGTGAATGCACACGAGAAATACAAAAGACAAGATGTCCTTAAACCCAGCATGGCAGTTTATACCCAGTTCTTTTTACTGTTACAACTGAGATGAAAGGCGCCTGAGCTTGAGAGAGCCAAGACGTTCTTGTGGGCCTAGCACATTTCCATTAAATTACATTATTGTTGTTTTATGTTACCTTTAATATATTTTTCTCCTTTAAAGAGAAATCACTTAATCTTCTAGAGATGCATTAAATCAGTGTTAAACAGCATGCACCCTCTGGTTCTATACACTCATAATGTTATGTCCGGACCATTGTCAAAGCTGAACAATTTGGAGAAATGAAAAAATCTAATTGGTTTGTGGGAGAATTTTTTAAGGTCAAGCTTCAGTTCAACATTCAGTAGTAGGTTTAAAACATGTGGCATAGCTTTACCACACGAGATAATCCTCAAAAGTGTGACTTTCTCAATCAAATTTCCACATGGGGGCAATAAAGTATGTATTGTATCTGTCTGTCCACACAAGGAGGATGTCGTTCAAATCACAATAAGAAATCGATTCATTGTTCAGCTCTACAAACATACGATGTATACATATAGCACCAGTCAGATGGACTATAGGATGAAGCCGTAGCCATTTTTACAGCTGCACCCCTGTTGAATGGAGGCCAATCTCAGTTTAAAAGCTCATGGTTTCAAGTGTTAAGTGTGCCAAGCATCATGCCTTAGTCATATATCTAATCTGTGCTGAGGACCTGCTTTGATAGGACAGATTATATAAACACTGTTCATTCCTCGTGAACAAGTGCCTGTGTGCTTGGCCGGATTGCCATGTATTATGCATTGAGCAGCAGCAGCAGCAGCAGCAGGGGCCTGCACAGAGAGTTTTCATATCAGAGACTGACCTACTTGCTGATCTGCTGCAAACTATATTTACATGCAAAAGGAGATCATTTACCTGCAAGACAGGCATGACCCCACAGATGGTGTTCATAGACTCAGACATTGTGCTTTGGTGAAATGCAAGTAGGTGATCTCTGCAATGAACGGCCCAATTGTTAGTTCTGAGAATGCAGCATCTGAGAGACCAATTAGTATTTATTCATATAAATAGCAGAGCCCGATGAAGAAGAAGTCACCTACTGGGGGCGATTCACAGAAGTTGAACTTCTTCAAACAGGCTGTAATTGTCTGACAAGGGTTTATTGTCTGTTAATAGGTTAAGCATGTGGCCTTTGGGTATTTCTATCCTGTCTCTAAATAGAGCTGATAGGATTAGACCTCTAAAGACGCTACCTTCTGGCAAGGACACTCAACTTACTCTGACCATGCATTGAACCTCTTTCCATGAACGGGTCCAGAGATATTTTGAGATTGTGGTTGTGTTTGTTTTAGAAGGGATAAAAGTAGAAGAACTGTAGCCGTTTTTAAGCAACTGGGGAAGTGTCACAGCAGTTAAATGAGCACCGTGTGTCAGTCTGCACATCGTGGTCAACTTGATCAGATGGTTGTTTCATGAATCGTGGGGCGTATCTCGGCAAGCCGGTTGGACACATCAGGGACCGTCCTCTTCTTCAGGGTCGTCCTCTGTAGCTCATCATTGTGGACTTTTGATGCGCACAAGTTTGACTGACATCAAGCCGTAGAGAAAGAACAGCTATGGGAGTACCTAACTCCAGGGAATACAGTTACTATCACGCTCCAAATACACCCTTTAAGATTGTGCTGAGAAGTAAGTATAGATTTTTGTACGGGAGTGAAAAAGAAATGCTTTCATGCTTTCTGCTTTCATGTTTGTGCAGTTCACTGTGTGTGCCATAATTTGTCCCAAAGGGTTTCGTGCTACTGTCTGTGCTGTTTTTGCTCTTGCTATTGTACTGAGGTTTGCAGGTCTTTTTGTGGATTTGTGTTTCAGTGTTAATTCGTTATTAGTTTACTGATGTAGCAAAGCTGTAAATTACATACCACAACAAATGAAAAGCAACAATAAGGAAAACGGCTAAAAATTAAAAAAAATAGCCCTAAGAAATAGGTCATAATAACATTATATCCTTAATGCTGCCTCTTATTTAAATGCGTAGATTGTATGATTGAATGCACAGTTCAGAACACTGAAATAGTATGGATCCTTCACACCTACTATTAGTAGTTGTAGTCAAAATTAGTTCATCACAATGATGCAGCAAGAACAGTAGGCCCAAAGGAACCTTTTTTCATTTGCATCACATGATTTTATTTACATGCTTTTATGGCAGAGTTTTCATCATATAGTTGGTTTAGTTGGTAGTATCTCCCACCCACTGGGAATAGTGGAAAAAAAAAAGCTAAGCTCAGATTTTAGGTAACCAGACTTACACCTGAGGACATGCCCTCAGAGCTGATCTCCCTGTGTACACAAACAGTCAGTCTCACAGATTGACTGCAGCAGTGGGATGGATGAAATGAAACTGTCATCACTGAGTACAGCTTGTGCTCATTTGTGTACGCAGGAAGCAAAACGGTATACCGACAGTAATGTTACAGTATGTACAACCAGGAAAAAACAAAAAAAAATGTGTAGTCACGGGTGCGCTTTAAATGTCCCTCAAACACTCAGTTTACTAAGAATAGATTTCATTCCTTTTGAAGATGCTCTGTGCAACTTGCAATTATCTCTGTTTCTGTCGGGCAGGTTGCTCATTAGGATTTCAGACAACCAGAATATTTGCATTTGTTTGGTTGGAATTTTAATTCAGTTTTGCATGTTTGCCTGATCACATTAACAAAATTAGACAGGGAGACTGGAAAACCATGTTTGTGCAAGAGAAGTAAATAAAACCCTGAATATTCATTAGCATAATGAAGGCACAGAAACTGGTTCAGGGCAGGCACAGAAACTGTCTCCAGACTTCTGCTATATTGTAGTTGTTGCTTTACAAGTGTGGGATCATTTGTTTTTACCATTTAAACTTTGCTTTTTATCACAAATGCATGAAGAATAAATTAGAAATTGGGGAAATTCTATACAGCTGAATTATTATGCAACCTGAAAGTCAAGCCACTCATTTCCACAGGTCATTGTTTTGACCTGCATTGTTAAAGGTATAGAAAGTTATGTAAGTTTGTGCTTATGTTGTGATAGGAATGACACCTAATCCCCAAGTTAGTCGTGCACATATTTTTGTGCTATAAATCAATATGCATCAGATAGAAGCATGTACATTGTGTTTGACAGAAGCAAAATCAATGGTTGTTCAAGCTTTTCTCTCTTTTTTAAAAATTAAACTTTATGAACAACCAGACATTGGTGCACACAGAGTGGACAGTCCTCTGCAATTCAAGACTCCAGTGTGTACAAAAAAAAAAATCAAAAATCTATCAATCAATAACATAACAAAGTAAGAAATTTCAAATGAATATTAAAAAATGTGTCTAAGCATATAAAATAAACAGTAGTATCAATAAGGATATATAAAGCTTCAATACAGAAAATAATTGTTTAAAATTCAACACAAGTGTACGTTTGCCATCTTGGCACAAACTGAAATAAACCAGAAAAAAAAATCATGTTCAAGGATAACATATAGAATGGTGCCTTTTGTAGAGGTACAAAATTAACCAGCTGAAAGTAGAAGATTTGTCATATTTGTCAAGGGTTTAATACTACATTTAGGTTTTGTAATAATTTTTATCTAAATAATTGCTCAAGAATGTCCTGTTTTGCCAAGTAAACTTCTTCATGTTTGTCTAAAATTCACATGGAGAGAAACAGTGACAAAATACAACTGCAACTATTTCAGGCTTCGCACTGCAAAAGATGCAATAAATAGCTACAAATGTCTTTAAATTTGGAAATTGTCATGCTACTTGGGTGAATGTTATGTAAGACTTTAAATTCCCCTCATCCTGTTCAAAACACAGAATTGGAAGATGCACAACCACGCTTTGCCTCAGTCGTATACAAACTACAACTTGAACATGTGATGATGTGAAATTGATTAGTAGTGGATTTGTGTTTCTGTGTGTTTGCTGTGCGAGACTTGTGTGTTTTTTTCGCTGCCTTTCATTGGCCAGAGACCGCTCGTCCGTTCAACCAATGCCTTATGGGATAGGGGCAGATAAATCCTGTTATGTGGAACCTGATTACTGCCTATAATCCACTGGTGTGTGCTTGTGTATGCGAGTGTGTGTCAGTGCACATGCATGTGTTACTAGCCACTGCAGTAATCCACAGCACTATAAATAATCACTTTGATTTTCCTCCCTCTGTGAATCATTTTGACTTTCTTGGTATACCGTTAAAGCACATATATACCGCCTGCATGGAAACACCTGCACTAGGTGAACAAAATACTGCTGCTGGAGCTCTGACAAAAAGCATGCATATTAGTCAGCCTCTGCAGAAAAGATTAAATATCACAGATAGCGATAGTGATGATGGATATCGCTGGGGGTCGCACGTGTTGTGTGTTATCATGGGTTGTTCATACCAAGTACGTATCATTGCTTTGCATGGGAGTGTTGAGATGAGCCTTTTTGTCCTTGTCTGACCTCTGACTGGTGTTGACATGTCCAAGTGTGCATAAAATGGCAAAGTAAGAATGCATTTGTATATATATATATATATATATATGTCTGTAGTTTTTTCGTGATGATGCTCTAACATAAAGGTAGAAACTTTTACAAATTATTTTCTGTAATGTATTTTGTCAGGAATTATAGCTTGGCACAACTCTGCTGAGGGATGTATAAATCTGAATTACATAAAAATGTTTCCTGACACTCGCTGTTGCCTGAGGTAATGGTAAAGAGCTTAGCCATTTTTAGAGCTGACATGACCCGAGCCAACACGCCAACCATCTACATACTAAGCAGTTTTACTACCAGATGCCTGGTTTTACTGCCCTATAATCCCTTTACGATGTCATAAGGACAAATTTACTGCAAAAAAAGTTACCTGTTTAATTCTTTGAAAAGTAAAAGTTGCCTGCAAGAGCGCTGCCAAGGTTATTTTGGGTTACAGGCTTTAGGTCAGTTCTTAGAATGGTGTTTAGATCAGATTTTAACACTGGCTTCTTTTCTTTCCAGGACGTAATGAGCCTCTCAAGAAGGAGCGCCCAAAATGGAAGAGCGAGTACCCGATGACAGAGGGCCAGCTCAGGAGCAAGAGGGACGAATTTTGGGATACGGCTCCAGCCTTTGATGGACGGAAAGAGATCTGGGACGCACTCAGAGCAGCAGCCCTGGCTGCCGAGTGCAATGACCTGGAGCTAGCACAAGCTATAGTGGATGGAGCCTGCATCACTCTGCCACATGGTATGAAACCACACTTACACAGTCCATTTTCAGATATGGAAAGCACATCCATCTATAAATTATAAGCTGTAAATTTCCTGGAACTTTAAGCACAAATGCTTAACTCCTGCTAGTAAATCTCAAAATGTCAAAGAAGAGTTTGCAGAATCCCATGCATCAATTGTTCAGAGATTACTACTGTAGTAGTTACATAATAGTCGCAGTGCTGCGTGACCACTGTGAATGGACTGATGCACCGAAAGCCATGACAGAGTTAGATGGGGAAAAAAAAACGCTGTTACTGCATATTTTTCTACTCACGCAGGAGTTGTTTTGCTTTGAACTGCTTTACTAGTGGAAGGACACTGATGTTGTGGATATAAATGTGACAGGCTCATGCTTCCCTGAGTTGATAACAATAGTAAAGAGTGGAGAGAGGGTTTATGTGTCGGGGTTAAAGCTGAAAAGTGACAGAAAGGTCTCTGGAAACTGGTTGCTGATGTGATTTGTTTCTCTTCTGCAGGCTCTCTCACAGAGAGTTATGATGAACTGGGTAACCGCTACCAGCTCCCAGCGTACACTTTAGCCCCGCCTGTCAACCTCATCTCTGAAACATCCAGTGAGGTCAAAGTGTCTGAATCCACACAAAAACAAGCTCAACCTCCTCCCTGCAGACAAGAGTTCCAGCTGCGGGTGCGATTATCAACAGGTAACACCCAATATGACCTGTAATTTGTATAATATGTATGTCAAATGCCATTTAAATGTAAAGAACTACAATTTTATGCAGCTTTGCCCATTTCATCTCATCTCGTCTAATCTAGGCTGGAGGCTGATTCATAATTCAGAGCTTTTCAGCTTCTCACACAGTGTTCAGAAATCTGTGTCAACTCTTAATGCTTTGCGGTTTTCTCAGGAAAGGACGTGCGTCTGACAGCCAGCATGGCGGACTCCATCGCTGAGCTAAAGAAGCAGCTGGAAGAACAGGAAGAAATTGCTGTGACCCGTCAGAGGTGGTTCTTTTCCGGGAAGCTTCTGACCGACAAGACTCGTCTGCAAGATGCCAAGATCCAGAAGGACTACGTTGTCCAAGTGATTGTCAATGTGAATTCCCCAGTTATAACTAACTGAGGAGGGAGACAGAGGAAATGATTCGCAGAAAAGATCAATAATGTGCCAGGAGTAGGGCTTGAAATCACTTTCCAGTTGGTACTGCAGTGGAATTTTGTGTACATTTTTATATAATAAATTATTGCTTTTATATTGCTCCTTTTTCTATTTTTCCTTTTTCCAAATAAAGTAAGAATACTGAAAAGCACTGAAACACTTTAGATTCAACTTAGAGCCCTAAGATGCACATCCCAGTGTCTGTCTGTTTGTGAAGACATCAACACTCAGCTCTGTTGTTTACATGGCTTCCCCTCCTTGTCATGTCTGTTTGTACTTGTGCTTATTGATAAATTAAATGCGGTTCACCTGGGAATCTCAGTGAAGAAAAGCCATTCTCTCTTTCTCTCTTCCCTTCTTTCTGTCTTTATTTTGTAAGTTTTCTGTCATGCAAGTCGAGAAATAGAAACTGTAAATATCAGATTCAATATGTGTTGTTTTTGTCATGTAACTACGTGCACATGCTATGTTTTCAATGCACAACTGTACATTCATGAAAAAGACACGGAATGTAAAGAAGGCACCTTAAAAAAAGGTAATAAGAGATGGATCAGATTTGTTTTTTATTTCATCACTTCAGACAAGATACTGTAGTTTTATGTACGATATGATGCTCACTGTACTTGAATAACTTATCAATAAATATTATAAATTTAAAGTCTTTCTCTGCTCCCTTGATTTGTCAGCAACAGAAGAAAATTATGAACTTACTCTAATGCTCTCAAATGGGTGTTGCATACCAAATTAAGTGACCATCTGCCAAGAAACAAGTTTATGTACGTCTCAATCTGCTGCTATCATACAGTCATATTTGCAAATACACAGAAATTTATATCTGTGGTGATGGCAAAGTTACAGTGCATATTAAGTGTTCACCCTTCGTGGAAGTTTGCCCCTTTTATTACTTTCAACGTTGAATTATGGTCAATTTAATTTGGCTCTTCTTTTGGCGAGAAATGACGAATAAAAGATTATTTCATGCTAAAGTAAAAACAGATTTCTATAAAGTAATATAAAATGTAAAATAGGTGATTGCCTCAGTATTCAGTATTTGGAAGATATACTTTTGCCCACAATTACAGCTTTCCCATGTCTGGATAGGTCTCAGTCAGCCTTGCATATCTAGATACTTCAACTTTACTCCATTCTTCTTTGCTAAACTACTCGAGATAGTCAGATTGCAGGGCAATAGTGAATCTTCTTTTTTGCAAATTCTTGTCAAAAAAGCCACATTAAATTTGACCATGATTCAATATAGAAATGCAATAAAAGGGGAACACTTTCGGGGTGGATGAATACTTTGAACAGTCACTGTGTGTCTTTGTGAAACTTCTCTAGTAACCAAACACTTGTAACTAAAGACATGTTTCAGAATCAGAATCAGAAAAGTTGTTGTGAAAATGTTTGTTGTGTATTCGGGCATGACATTTATAATTATAGAAAATATTATTGATTCTGACGTTCAGGTGTTTGTCTGATGTCCTTCCTTATATTAACGTGACTGACAGGTGGGTTTCATGTATGAAATAAAGAAATGATTTCTTTTGCAATTGTCCCATGGCCTATAATCTTTAAAATATGACCCTCATGAGTGAAATCAGTTATTGTGATGCACTGATTTCCGTCACAATGTCAGGAATTCAATCACTTTTTGGCACAAGACTTGGATTTACAACTGTTCCATGATCTTCATCAGTTTTGTGATGGATTGATCTGTTGTTAGTTCCATATCCAGCACTTTCACCTTAACAGTAATTGAAAAAAAAACATCACTTCCTCAACAATCCCAGTTCAAGGTTCAGTTGTACCGGTTCAGCAGCTTCACACAGTCATCTTCTGGTAACCACAGTTGTCATGGAGACTCATCTGACGTTCATTGGTTGTTGTGATGTTTCTTTACAGTGTGGACACAAACTGTGGTCGTGTGTGTTGTTTGCGGTGGACGGCGCCACCTACTGGTAAAACAACAACACGGTCCGGTCAGACACGTGAGGGCACCCGTGACGTCATATGTAAGCGACGCCTTCACCTGGATCTCCTCAGTCATTTCGGGGTAACGTGATTGTTTTCAACCCCGAAAATGGTGAAATCTGGGAAACTTCGGTCCGGGACAGGGTCGAAACTCAAACGGTGGAAGAAAGGACACAGCAGTGACTCCAACCCGCAGTCGAGTCGTTTTCGGCAGGCTGCTAAAAGCCGCTTCTTCAGCCGGCCCAGCGGTACGTTTCCCATCACACGTGGATCTCTGGCTGCTGCTAACACCAGCTAGCTTTAGCCATTTAACTTGTGACCCCCGCATGCTAGCTTGATATGTAGCGTCAATATATTCTAATCAACAATTTAGCTGAATTTCTTTCTCTCATTTCCATTTAGTCAGTTTAACTAACTTGTCTGTAAGTTTAGTTTTTGATTTTGAGCAACAACTATTGTCTGTTTGTAGTTCTGAGAGCCAAAGAAACAGTTTAACCCTGTTAAGATAACAGCTCGTTAAATGCTGACATCCTGAAAATAATACAGAGTACTAATAATCAAAATGTGCAAGTACTTGGCCGCACTAGTAGTTGTTTTGGCTCCATTGCATTGAGTTTAAAATGTGTTTATGACTGACATTAAAGTTTGGACTTTTACCTATAAGTAGATTTGATCACATTCAACTTTACTGTCTATGCACAGAGTGATAAGACGAGTAATGCGGTTTGGCATCGAACCAGGGGTGCAAAAGCAGCAGTAAAGCACATACAGCATAGTTATACATGGCATGTTACAGTATGAACACAGTGTGATTGTAGTACCTGTAGTTCTCAATGTAAAGTTAGATATATGAACATTTACTGCTAGCGGTATAAACAGTATGGACAGTAACAATAGAAATCATGTGAACAGGTTGAGAAATATGTAGTATGTACACTGTATGATCAGCATAGACAGTATGAGAGTGAGATATATGCAGTACAGACAGTATGTATAGTTTGATTGTTCAGTATTAACATCAGCACACAGGGTGAAAACTGTACTAATTCCAGCCCCATTTGTATATAATTCCTCAATTCATGAGGTCTAATAGTAATTCAACAGCAGTGTGATTGAAACCAATGTTGGTTTTTCCTTGTTTTGAGGGCTTATTCCTTGCAAAAAAAAAAAGATCTTTAGAAAGTGTAGGAAGCAGATAAGATGGATGACTATCAGTTTTAGCTCACCTCATGTAAAAGTGCTCCCAACAGCTTGAAAACTGTGGGTCAGTTTATAGATTTGTAGTCATGGATTCAATCTAAATTCGGCCTGCAAAGCTAAAATGACAGATGGGACACAGATTTGTCAGTTCTACTCCCAACATGCTGTGTATCATGCCTCTTTTATGTCAGGGGTGTCAAACGCATCCTTGCTCTTAGGTCCACCAGCAAGCCTCCTCAATTCTTGAGATGCTGAAATTGAGACATCCTTTACTTTGGTGCGCCAGGATTGATTTCCAGGTCACCTCTTCACAGGGAAGACCGAGGAGATGAGGAGGCTCGGGTCAGTGCTCTAGGATGACCTAACGTAAAGACATATCTGTTCTTTTCTCCCATCAGGAAAGAGTGATCTAACTGTTGATGCTCTCAAGCTTCACAATGAGCTGCAGGCCGGTCCACTGGAGGTCAACACAGGCAGTCGTAAAGATGCCTGTATGGAGGAGGAGGCAGATGAGATGTTCTCAGAGAGAACCTCAGGCACGTTCCTCAGCGGTTTGTCTGACTGCTCCAACCTCACCTTCAGAAAGGTGCAGCGCTTCTGGGAGTCTAACTCAGCTGCCCACAAAGAGGTCGGTGTTACACTGAAGACAGCGAATTTATTCACAACGCCATGTTAATAAGTAGCTTCATGCAGCTGATTTATAATGTCAGCAAACCTTTAACACTGAAAAGCTATTTATGACATTTTTAGGAGTTGATGCAAGGATATCAGCTCTGCTAACAAATCTGTAATTTCAAGTCCAAGATGCTGAGTTACAGCATTGTCATCTGATATTCCTCACAGATTTGCGCAGTGTTGGCAGCTGTTACTGAAGTGATCCGTGGTCAGGGAGGAAAGGAGACGGAAACAGAGTACTTTGCTGCTTTGGTGAGTGCTGCCTTCAAAAAGAAATTTGTGGTGTATTGAAAAGTGATGATAAATCTAAACTTTCTTCTGTACATGTCTGTGATTTCGTAGATGACCACTCTGGAGGTTGTGGATTCAGCGGAGTCCCAAGCTGCAGTTGCGTACCTCCTCAACCTCGTCATGAAACGGTAGAGCTTAAACATCTTACTGCCTCTACAACAAACCCTCAGACATGTCCAAAATTGCTGGTTATCACTGGAAATATGTTTAATCTGCTTGGTACATTGCGTTTCTTAGGGTTCCTGCTCCTGTACTCATGTCTAAGTTCTCGGACACCACCAAGGCTCTGATGGACGTCATGTCTAAACAGGCTACCTCTGACACCGCTTCTGCGCTTAGATGGGTGAGTAGATTTGTCTATGATTGCCTTGTTATATTCATTGTTCAAAACTGTTGCAAAATTGATTTTGTTATTTCGCATCTATAGATCCTGTCATGCTTGGCCACGTTGTTGAGGAAGCAGGACGCATCTGTCTGGACCTATCCAACGACTCTCCAGGCTTATCACGGCCTCCTCAGCTTCACAGTGCACAGCAAACCCAAGGTCAGTTCCTCGGCCCACTAGTACTGCTCACCCACATTGCGTTGTTTGTCTCAGTTGTATTACTTGTTCCGTTCAACATTTGTTGAGATATAAAAAGTTGTGGATCTTGGGCGACTGAATTTATCTCCACTGTTTCCTCTCAGGTCCGTAAAGCAGCACAGCAAGGTGTTTGCTCCATTCTCAGAGGCAGTGACTTCTTATTTAAAGATAATGCCCCGGCCCATCACCCTGCTGCAGCTACCACAGCCAAGTTCTGCATAAAAGAAATGGAGCAGGCAGGAGGTAAGGCATCACTGATGTGTTTTACTGATGCATATAACACAGGCACAGAAATGTACCAGTCGGCTTTCCTCAAATATAGCCAATCTGTGTGACTAGTTTCTTTAAAGGCTTGAGTTGCTTCTGTGTATAGCGTTAAAAGCATAACGATGTAACTTTTAAGAAGCAAATGGCAGCGGATTGAAATTTAATCCTGAAATATGTTGATTTTTTAGCATTAAACATGGGGAGTTAGAAATAGATACCTGCCTTTAATACACACCCGCTTCAAGTAAAGGCCTGTTACCTTCTGCAGTTAAGAAAAATAAAGGCCCTGGTCACTATTTGAGGAAATACAGTATTTGTTCCTACTGTGATGAACATAAGTTGTGTTTGATTGTCCGGCAATTACAGTTTATATGTTTTTTTTCCTCTCAGGCAGCAAAGAGGACACCACCACACTTCATGTGCTCGGCCTTCTGAAGGACCTGATTGGGAGTTTTCCTCTGGGAGCCGTCAAGTCCTGTTGTGAGACTCTGCTGCGAGTGATGACGCTCAGCCATGTGGTGAGAACACACAGATATTCCCATGTGCAGCCAGATACTCTGTATTCACCTACATAGATATTCAGAGATGTGTTTTTAATGTGTTCACTGTGTTTTTGGCTGCAGCTGGTGACGGCCAGTGCCATGCAGGCCTTTCATCGGCTCTTCAGCGGGAAG